CACCAGCGGACCTGCCCCTCCTGACTGAAGCAACAAAGCGTCTGAAGCGGTATCTCGTTGCAGCAGCAGCCGGCACTGTTGAGGCAGATGGGGGCGCCCACGCGGGACTGACGGCCACACCTGAGATGGATACCCCTCATGTCGAGCTGCACCGCCCCACCAGCGGACCCCTGGTCGCCATCGTGCGCATGCCTGGCACTCCTGAGCGGACTGAACAGGTTCGCATGCCCATCTATGTGCACCTCCCCCAGCCGCCCAGCATCGACGACACCATCGAGCTGTTCACACTTGCCCCCCACCAGGCCGTGCCCTTCATGCTCATGGCTCGGTACTTCGATCGCCGTGATGAGCCCAACCCTGGCGACCCACCGCAGATGCTTGTGGAGGGCAAGCCCGGTACCGGAAAGAGCCAGTTCGTACAAGCGCTCCTGTGGTACACCTTCCAGCATGGCTGCCCGCACTGGGCGGCCACCTGCGCCTACTCATGGGCTGCTGCAACTGCCTTCAGCACGCCGGTACATCGCAGCCTCTCTACCCACGCCATGTTCGCCCTATCTGCTGGCAGCAACCGAGCGGACAGCGTCAGGAAAGGCAGCGCAGCCAGCCTACAGGTGCATCGTAATGTCGGCGATGGTGCGCTCATCATTGACGAGATTGGCATGAACAGCCTGGACCACCGTGGTACTACCATGGCGCCCGATACATCCTCCTTGATACGACAGCTGCCGATGCCGGGGCGAGCCACAACAACGAGGTGGAAGCCTGCAGCCTGCTTGAGGATGGCCGCGAGCCAGCAGATGACGGCCGTGGCCCCTACCGCAGGCTCAAGTACCTTCCAGCGGCCGTCATTGTGCGGCCTATAAGCGGCCACATCCCCGGCACCGTGCTGCAGGGCCTTGGAGACTACGCCAGCAGGGGTGGTGCCTTCATCCTGTCACCCCGGGCGTCTTGCATTGCCGAGGTGGAGATGCCTGCCGCCGGGTATGGCACCATCACAAAGCAGATCCGGCGCCTCAACGTGCCGCTCGGCGACCGCCAGGCGGTCACCGATTACTTCGTGCA